TTCTGTGTCTCCCTCTCTCGCCGCCCCTCCCTGCTCATGCTCTGTCTCTGTCTCAAAAACAAATAAAAACATTAAAAAAAAATTTTAATTGAAGAGTAAGGTTTAAAAGAAGAGAAATAGAATCTATAATTTAAAACCAAAAGGGAGATTAAAACAAAAGAAGTAATCTAATCTAGAAGGCAGAAAACGGAAAAAAAGGAAAAAGAAAAAGGAACAAAAGTCCATATTTACAACTTCATGCCAGAACGCCTGAAATATTCTCTTTAAAGTCAGCAATGGGGGCGCCTGGGTGGCGCAGTCAGTTGAGCGTCCGACTTCAGCCAGGTCACGATCTCGCGGTCCGTGGGTTCGAGCCCCGCGTCGGGCTCTGGGCTGATGGCTCAGAGCCTGGAGCCTGTTTCCGATTCTGTGTCTCCCTCTCTCTCTACCCCTCCCCCGTTCATGCTCTGTCTCTCTCTGTCCCAAAATAAATAAAAAACGTTGAAAAAAAATTTAAAAAAAAAAATTAAAAAAAAATAAAATAAAAAAAATAAAGTCAGCAATGAGGCATGTATGGCTTCTCCCACTGCCTCTATCTAACATTGCGCTGGAGGTCTTAAGCAAAGCAAAGGTGTAAAAGAAAAAGTTGTAAAAACTAGAAAAGAAACAAATCTGCTACTACTTGCAGATGATATAACTGTCTGAAAAAAAATCTAAGAAATATACAGACGCAGTCTAGAGTTTAACAAAGTTTCCTCAAGGAAACGGATAAAAATTTCAATATTGGTCTTACACTGAAGCAAACCACAGGGAAATGTAATCATGTCCTGGCAATTCCACGGCTAGGAGTGAATCCAAGGGAAGCTCTTGGACACATGGACATGGAGACAGAAATAAGAATGTTTTCTGCCAAAGAAAGCTGTAAGAGTAAAATAAGAGTCAGGAAAACAAAAAAGAATCAACCAAACTGTCCCTCAGTGGGCGTATTCATGCAATGAGATAAAAAGCCACAATTTAAAAGGAATGGATTGCCAATCTGGATAAATGTCAGAAACATAATGTTGAATGAAAAGGCAAGTTGCAAAAGGAAAGTTCAATATGGTATCATTTATGTAAAATCTCCCTAAGATATTGTTTACGAATATGTAGATATATAGGAAAAATATGAAAATATGAATGAGAATCATACAGGGGAATAAAGCCTCCAACTTCACGGATAGTTACTTCCAGGTCCAGGACAGTAGGACTTCAGCCATATTTGTAATATTTTATTTTCCTTGAAAAAATATTTTTTTTTCCTTGAGAAAACATTTGAAGCACATATGGAAAGATTTGGTTTTGGTGTATCTGTTATATTTCCTCTGTTTGAATTCTTTCATAATTAAGAAGAAATAGTGAAAAGATATACATTGATCAAATTGACATTTTAACTAAGTTATTTTTGACCAAGTTTTCTGATATCCCTGGCATAATGTACATAAACGGTAAGTGTTTTTTCATTTTATACCCCATCCCACCCCCAACTGGGTCTTATTCAAAGTTTTCTCACTCAATCTCAGAAGAGCACTATTAAGAGAAAATATTTTAAAAAAATTTTCTTCATTAAAAAAAGATTTTTTTAACTTTTGACCCCATTCATCTATTTCTCCCCCTCTCCCCTCCAACAACCACTAATCTGTTTTCTGTATCTATGAACTTGGTGTTTTTTAAATTTAATTCCACATGTAAGAGAGATCATACAGTATTTGTCTTCTCTGACTGACTTATTTCACTTAGCATAATGCCTTTAAGGTTCATCCATATTGTTGTATTTTGCAAGATTTCATTCCTTTTTATAGTCAAATAATATTCCATTATGTGTCCATTCCACAATTTCTTTACCTATTCATCCATGGACAGACACTTAGGTTGTTACCATATCATGGCTATTGTAAATAATGCTGCAAAGAACATTGGGGTCCATACAATTATAGGTATTTGACAGCTAAAATACAGGAGAATCATGACAGCCACTTTGAGATATACCTCTTCCCCTCTCAATTTCTACTTTATTTCACTTCACTTCCTCTGTTTCTTTCTCCTGCTTATTTCTGAGAGAAGTCACTGATGTACCCTATTTTTTTAAGTTTTTACTTAAATTCCAGTTAGTTAACATAGTGTACTATTAGCAAGTGCACTTGTGATGAGCAGCAGGTGTTGTGTGTATGTGTTGAAACACTAAATTGTACGCCTGATGTACGTTAAACTTCCATGCAAAATAAGGACAACACAACAAGAAAAAGAATAAACTGTCTTTCCTTTCTCAGATTTTTAGACTTATATTTATGTTTGTTAAGGTTAAGGCAGAGAAAGACTGATTTATATCTCTTGTTGCTTGCTCCACCCATCAGCTCATTGTTCATACATCAGAGGACCAAAAATCTTCAGAGATATACCTTCCGGCAATAAATTAAACCTCTTACTTTGAGGTTTAGATCCTATTTGATTTTTAAGAAAACTTAAAGTAAAATTGCTACCAGGAAGATAAAGATAGTATCAGATGACTTATTGTCCGATTTCCCCCAGCTTACTTTACAAATTTATTTCTCTTACAACAAAGAATTTTAACATTGAAAGACCGACATAGTGCTATAGTCTTCTACATTTTCCCCATGAGCAGCATGAGAAAGGACTCTTTTTCCTTCGTTAAAATTTCAATATGAACAATGGTAACTAGAACCCACAATATACATAAGGTATAGTTATTGTCCGAATGGAGTTATTCTAGGCCTTCTACAATAAGTTAAAGGAAGAGTATTAAGAAGATGTGTTTACGCCAGTCAGAGTGGCCAAAATGAACAAATCAGGAGACTATAGATGCTGGAGAGGATGTGGAGAAACGGGAACCCTCTTGCACTGTTGGTGGGAATGCAAATTGGTGCAGCCGCTCTGGAAAGCAGTGTGGAGGTTCCTCAGAAAATTAAAAATAGACCTACCCTATGACCCAGCAATAGCACTGCTAGGAATTTACCCAAGGGACACAGGAGGACTGATGCATAGGGGCACTTGTACCCCAATGTTTATTGCAGCACTCTCAACAATAGCCAAATTGTGGAAAGAGCCTAAATGTCCATCAACTGATGAATGGATAAAGAAATTGTGGTTTATATACACAATGGAATACTACGTGGCAATGAGAAAGAATGAAATATGGCCTTTTGTAGCAACGTGGATGGAACTGGAGAGTGTGATGCTAAGTGAAATAAGCCATACAGAGAAAGACAGATACCATATGGTTTCACTCTTATGTGGATCCTGAGAAACTTAACAGAAACCCATGGGGGAGGGGAAGGAAAAAAAAAAAAAAAAGAGGTTAGAGTGGGAGAGAGCCAAAGCATAAGAGACTGTTAAAAACTGAGAACAAACTGAGGGTTGATGGGGGGTGGGAGGGAGGGGAGGGTGGGTGATGGGTATTGAGGAGGGCACCTTTTGGGATGAGCACTGGGTGTTGTATGGAAACCAATTTGACAATAAATTTCATATATTGAAAAAAAATAAATTATATTTGAAAAAAAATAAATTATATTTACAAAAAAAAAGAAGATGTGTTTATGTTGAGAGAAAAGTTCTTTGTTTACCCTTTCAGAGATTCAGCATAGTGTGAGTCTGTAGGTCTCCTGACTTATATGAACACCTCTGTCCCAAGTTAATGTTCTATTTCCCCCTAATTCTGCAATACAAACAGATTCACAAACATCACCAGAAAAGAAATCAAGTATTATTTGTTCATCTAAACTACCAAGGGATGTCTGCAAGTGAAACTCAAGGATCAGCCAAACCCATGTTTATTGGCCCCAAATCAGAATGTTCAAAATTATTCAACAGACTATATAGACAGCCAAAGTTATTTCAAGAGGTAGAAGGTAAAAATACTTCTTGCGTTGATGCACAGAAGATGTTTAAGCAACGTATGTATTGAAAGTACAGTTTTGAATATAAGTAGTGGTTTAACTCAAGTGTTGTCTGTCTTCACATGGATAGTTAAATGGATCAACATGCATGTTCCTCCCACACTCAGCCAAAAAGATCCCATAATATAAGAATATGCTACAGCTGGGCCTTGGGATGTAAAGACTATCCTGGAAGTTACCCAGAAAGGAATCTCAGGACACTTACTCTTCAGCTCTTTACATGGTCATATTTTAAAGCCAATCTTTAGGATAAAAAACAACCCATTAGATGCTCTACCTATGTCTTTGAGAAGGCAGAAATAATAGCTTTGGCAAATCGACATCTTATTTTGAGATAATCTGGAGTAGCTAGCTTTTTCTTTTTTGGATCGTATGATTACAAATTTCTTAAAATTTCCAGGTCTCTGCCTCCTCCATAAAAACATTATAAAGAGTGAGGTACAGTGGGGGAGTGTAAGGAGTTTAACCAAGAAGATGCTGGAGAAGCGTTTGTTGGTACAGGCTTAGAGCAACTCAACAAAATCATTCACGACCAAAATAAATTGCACATTACACAAGCTCTCAATACTCTACTTTAAAAAAAAATGCCCAGTGGAAACAGTCAATTCTAAGATTTTTTTTCTTTTTTTGGGGGCTGTAAGGCAAAATCTGTCAACTAACATCATCTGTACACAATCTGGTTTATTAACTCCTGAAATATGATATTTATGTTTTAATTGAAATTTTAGTTAACATATATGCAATATTGGTTTCAAGAGCAGAATCAGTGATTCTTCACTTATATACAACATTTATTTTTTAAAAACTATCTACTTAAAATGCTGCATTCATAATTGATACATTCAAGTCACTACTGGAAATAAAAGGAATAAATTATTTTGTATCCCATAGATGAACCTTCTTGTTGTATGGCTTCAAATTCAAGGAACGCTTTGAATAATTTATTCCTTACCAATATTTGTGCTACCAAAATTTGTCAATGAGAAGATTAATTTTTTAAAATAATCGAAGTTCTCGGCATAAAAACTACTATTATTCCGATTTGTCCATAAAGGCAAAAAATACACATACCTCAACAAATATAAAACACGGGATGATGGAATAACTTCGTTGAGTGTTGTTTCCTACAGCCATTTCTTACACCATGTAGCAAGGCTGCACCGTCTAAAACTGGCCAGGCTGAAATAGAAACAGGTAGCATGGTATAAGAACCATAAGTTTAGCAGTCCCTTAGGGATTTACATGAAAATATCAGCTACCCTCTAGATAAACAAGCTGTGTACAAACAATGCAAACAGTGATCTATAACATAATCAAGTCAGACTAATCATCATTTCAGAGAAAAGACATGTATATACCAGCCATGAGCAGTCTAGAGTTTAAATGACAGGTAGTGAACCCCCCACCCCTGCAAAAAAAGCTACAGTGAATCGAATTCTAATTGCCTAGACCCGTACCTTGCTTTACCTGAGTAGACTGCCCTCATGCCGTGAAAGGCAGTTTCTGCTACAATACATTTGTTGTTTTCCATACTGCTCAGATCTCCTCTCTCTAGGCCTGATTCTCCCAGTTTGCAAGGTTTGTTTCTACCCTTGCCTGTACCTTTGGAGCTGACATTTAGTACTGAGGCACTAACCCCTGACTTCTTACCCTGACCACTCTTTGCCCTTGCTCCTTTGATTATTAATTATTTTGGATTAATACATCACTGATCCCTCTCACTGAGTTCTCTCAGCCCCGTGTGTGTGTGTGTGTGTGTGTGTGTGTGTGTGTGTGTGTGTACCAAACACAAAAACACCATAATAAAATCTCTCAATTTACATAAATGGAGTATCTAGGCAACCGTAGATTATTTTCAGTATTTGATAGAATATCTCTGACCTTGAACCAAAAATATTCCTGTATTAGATTTGTTTTTTTAAGAAGAATAAAAATTAACCAAACAACCAAGTTGAGGTTTTAGACTTTTATAAAACTTCCAAGGCCAGATGAAAAGAATTTTCCACTACACCTTTATTTTCTATCCAAAGCAACACATAATATGTTTCAGGTACCTGTTCTTGATAGTTATTATTTTTTGCCTGTTATGTTTCTGTGTTACCCTTCCTAATAGTTGTCATGGGTTATTGCATGAAGAGTGACACAGGACTGCACTATCCTTAAAGGTCATGAATTAATATTTTTAACTTAATTCTATCTTTGTAAAGTCCTCCTTACCTTTTCTAGAAAGAAATTTTAGATTTCATTCTCTTTTTGAGATACCAGCTTCTCACTTGATTAAAACTTTCTCTGATCAAATTTAACATTTACATGTGGTATTAAGCCCACATCAATCACAGCGCTTAAATTACTTAGGTTTTAGGCAACTTAAGTTTTCAATTAAAATCAGATATTATCTGTTATAAAGTAATACCCATAATAAATCTATTTCACCATTCTTTTTTGGGACTTAGGAAGAACTAACTTTTTTACAATTACGAAAGAATCCATATGTAGGGTACAGGTTGAGTTAATCTGGCAACCACATATTCTTTACATTTTACCCTTAATCCAAATATCTTAGAATACACGTATCTATGATTTAGAGGAGTCTGTACTTCTTTCACAGTGCCATATATTTGAAAAGAAAATTAACTTTTAATCACCCCAAAGCAAGCATGGGCACCAGAAAAAGCAAAGGCATCAGACACCTAGTATTTTAGATGGTTTCTCCAGATGGTTAATAAAAAAATAGCAATGAAAAGGAGAATATAAGACAAGACTTGGAGTATCATATAAAATCTACTTTATCTTCAGTCTTTTAGCTCAAAATACAACCTAGCTTTTTATGTGTACAGAGATTTTACACACACACACACACACACACACACACACACACACACACACACACAATTAACTACATTGAGGCATATTTTACATATATATAATTCACTCATTTCAAGTATTCAATGATATTTTAGTAAATTTACCATGTTGTGCAACTGTCACTATAAAACAATTTTAGCACTTTTTGCTCACCCCAAAAAGAATCCTCTTCCTCACTAGCACCTCCCTGACCACCCTACCGCTTCTCCAGCCAAGTCACCCACTAATCTACTTTCTGTCTCTATAGAGACTTTCTGTGTTCAAGTAAATAGAATTATACAATATATGGTTTCTTGACCTGGGTTCTTTTATTTAGCACTGTTTTTGAGGTTTATTCATGTCATAATGCACATATCAGTAATTTTTCCCTTTTTATTGCTGAATAGTATTCCATTGTATATCTATAGCACCTTCACCAACTGGTAGAAACATAGGTTGTTTCTAATTTTTGCTGTATCCAATCTTAGGTTGCATCTAGTATTGTGGGTAATGATGCTAAGAACATCTGTGCATAAGTCGTGTGTAGATACATGTTTTCATTTCTCATTGTTAGATACCTAAGGGTATCTGGGTCATATGCTACATTATATTTGCTGGGTCATATGCTACATTATATTTAAGAGAACTGTGGACGTGTTTTCCAAATTGGTTGTGTCATTTTACATGGATACCAGCAATGTAAGCGAATTCCCATTTGCCACATCCTAACATTTTTATTGCCTATCTTTTTTTAAATTATAGTCATTCTAGTGGTTATGAGATGATAGCTCATTGTGATTTTCATTTAATAACAAATGATATTGAGCATCTTTTGATGTGCTTATCAGCTGTTATATCTTCTTTTGTGAAATATCTACTCAAATCTTTCCGTTTTTTTGACTGGGTTGTTTATCTTACTGCTTTCAAGGTGTAAGTGTTGTTTTACATTCCAAATACAAGTTTCTTATCGGATATGTATTTTGTCTTTTGACTATTAATGTATCTTGGCATAGATTCCTTTAGGTTTTTTGCTTGGAGATTTCTCACTACTTGAATCTGTGGGTTTATGGTGTTTTTTTTGCCCAGATTTAGGAAAATTTTCAGCATTATTCCTGGAATACTTTTCAACATGATTTCTCATCTCCTGGGACTCCAATGACATGAATATTAGATCTTTTGCTTTAGTCTATCATGTCCCTGAGACTAATTTTCCACCTCGGTCTATTTTCTCTGTTGTTCAGATTAGGTATTTTCTATTATTCTGTCTTCAAGTTCACTGATTCTTTCCTCTTTCATCTTTATTATGGTGTTGAGTTATATCCATCCCCTGAGTTTTTAATTTCAGTTGTATTTTTTAATTCTAGAATTTCCATTTGCTTTTTCTTTATACTTTCTATTTCTTTACTGAGATTACTTTTTTCATTTGCTTCAGCATGTTTGTAATTGTTTATTGAAGCATTTTTATGAAGACCAGTTAAAAATTCTTGTCAGATGCTTGTGACATCTATGTCATCTGGGTATTGGTATTTCTTGGTCTTAATTCAGTTTGAGATCATCCCTGTTCTTGGGATGAAGAATGATTTTTGATTGAAACCTTGGGTTATTACATGATAAGGCTCAAGATTTTGTTTAATCCTTGTGTTTTATCATACCTCCTCTGATACTCCTCCAGTAGGTTTGTGTTATAGCCATGTGAAGGTGTCACAGGTTCTCCACTTGGCCTTCTATAACACCTGGTTGGGGAGGGGCCCCTTTGCTAGGCAAAAGTAGAATTCAAGGTCTCTACTGACATCCTGGCTGGAAGGGGGAGAGGTACCTCATTTTTATTGCTCCCCATGTGGCCTCCACAGACACTGTGGGAAGGTGGCCTCATGATTGCTGAGTAGTGGTAAAATTCCCGACTTTCCACTAGCCCCCCCTCTGATGCCACCCCAGTGAAAAGGAAGTAGGGGTTCCTCAGTACTTCCTGGTAGGGGTGAGAGGCCAGGCTCCCCACATATTTCCCTCTGATACTGGGAGGTAGGGAGACAACTCATTACTGCCCTGCATGAAATAAAGTTCTGGCTCCCCCTTGACTTTTTCTGACATGACCTCAGCAGGAATCTGAGGGAGTCTCCTTATTGCCTAGCAAAGGTAGAAGTCCAGGGTCTCCACTTGGCCTTCACTAGTTCGGCAGAAGAGATGGGACTATAGTTTTTTCTGTGGTGTTTGGCTGGAGTCAAGAGGTTCTTTTCTAAAAGTTTTCTGTTTTCCTCGGCTGCCTTTTCCCTACCCTTTGGCTGAGCTTTTCTTGGGGCTATTTTGTCTGTATTATTCTTACCCAGGTATCCAGATTCTCCATCTAGTCTGAGAGAAGCGGCAAAAAGAAAACCGTGGGAACTCACTATTGTGTTGTTTCTTGTGTGCTAAGGTCCTTAGACAGTCTACTTTTCCTTCAATCTCTCAATTTCCTTATGTTTAAAGAACATTTAAGATTTTTAGTTGTTTTCAGTCAAAGGCACAGGGAAAAAGTACATCTTACTCCATGCTCCCAGAAACAGGAGTCATCAGAATCTTTTTGAAGAAGAACCACATAGTCCAGTCACCAAGATTCTAGTACAGCCCAGCCCAGCTTTGTTCTCATGAACTTGAGTTTCTCAGTGCCCAAGGTTTCAAATAAGAGAACATATCTTATCATTCATTCATTCATTCATGAGTCCCTAAGTCATGCCACATATCCCATTAGGCAAAACCAGAAGCAATGAAGTGGTCAAATACCCTGTGGGTATAACAGGAAGAAGGATAGGAAGGATAGGAAGGATAGGAAGAAGGATAATGATAGCACAAATAAATAATCAATTCTAATTCTTGCGGTCAGGGATCTCTTTATCCATCAGTTATATTGTACATTAATCTTTTATGCATTAGGCACAGTAGACATAGTGCCTAGGATCCATAATACTTTTAGGGGCCTATGCAAAGACTTTAATTTCTTCTAAAGCCAGAAAATGGACTTTGAGGCAGAAGAAAATTTTAATATATATTATTAAATTTAGTTTTATGCCAATTGTAAAATATAAATTTTAATTTTTTTTTTAACTAGAGAAAGGGGTCCCCAAAGGCAAAGTTGCTTAGAGTCCACAAAAGTAATATTGCAGCTCTAGTTGAAGAGAAAGTTGAGGAAAGGTTTCTTAGAAGAGACGGCTATTTAAGTTGATCAAAATAAAAGCAGAGGAGGATGAGAGGCATTTCAGCTAAAGGGAGCAGCAGGAGCAAACGTTCCGAAGACATGAATATGAATCAGCCTAACATGTGTGAGAAACTAAAAACAAAGAGCAGGTCAAATGTATGAGAACCAGGATGAGCAACAGAAGTACCAAAATTTATGTACATGTAGCTCTTTGTGCACAAACTCTCACAATCAGAGTATCTCAAGAGTAAGAAATATTCGTGGTCTATTTCCATATCAGATAATAACATAGGGAAAAAAGAGAATATGGACAGACAATGCTGTTTCTTGGTAATAAACTCAGACAGAGCTTTTATTTCTAAGCAGCTAAGTATATTATAAATCAGAATTGTCTAATGAAGCGATCACTGCCATCTCCTATATTTCCATTGATTTTTCCACATAATTTCCTCTTATTTATGAGAATTGTTATAATTCCTAATCAACCCATGATAGATACAAAAACAATTACTGATTACAAAGTATCTGTTTTTGTGATTCTGAAAATTGATGGTGATGAAGCATGGTAACA